GCGAGAGCGAGAGCGAGAGCGAGAGCGAGAGCGAGAGCGAGAGCGAGAGCGAGAGCGAGAGCGAGAGCGAGAGCGAGAGCGAGAGCGAGAGCGAAAACAAGCAAGAAAGCGTAGCCCCGAGTTCTGGCTAAAAGCTTAAATCCAGCCCCGTGTTCCCACTTTAGCCGATCGAGCCTGGCCTCCGGCTTCCTTAAGCTCCGACCCCATGCGTTAGCGTTTCTGTGTAGCTGTTGCAATTCCAGTCGAGTGCAGCCAACTGGTAGCTCCGGCAGGCCTGGGTTGTTTGTAGCACCGGCTTTAAGCAAGTAGCTCCAGCTGCGGTAATGGCCTGTAGCTGCAGTTGGTCAGGCCTGCAGCCTAGGCCGAGCCGGGCCCAAGCTGGGGAGCCGAGGAGCCAGGGAGCCAGCGGGCCGCCAAAGCCACCACAACTTGCTATGTACGAACAGTGGGCGCCAGACGGTAGGTGTGACTGTCTTGTTAAATAAGAAACACAGAACCAATGCAGAGAGAAAAGCCCAAGAGGTCAGAGATAAGTGCTAAAAACCTTACCCTTCACCGCCGCTCCTGTCCTTCCCTCCGCAAGAGACCTCCTTCCTGTGTCTCTGTCTTCTTATAGACTTTCTGTTCTGCCTTCTCATTGGTTATAAACCCAACCACATGACCACCTTGTCACTGCCTGTCTATACAGACCTCCAGGTCTCTATGGTTGGTATTGAGATATAAGGCGTGTGTCTCCAATGCTGGCTGTATCCCTGAACACACAGAGATCTGCCTGTCATGTGATCAGGATTAAGGGCTACTGCCAGACTTCTGCTATGGCTTGCTCTTCGATCTGACCCCCAGGCAACTTTATTTATTAACATACAAACAAAATCACATTTCAGTACAAATAAAATATCACCATAGCTGGGTAGCTAGTTGCCCTGAGCTCACAAGTCCCCACAGGATGTAAGCTGGACAGCGCCAGGTCACCCTGGCCAAGCAGCTTCTGTGACGGCAGGTGTCTTGTTCCTTTCATCTTTAGAATACTTACACAGGGCTGCAGAGAGATGGCCCCGTAGTTAGGAGCACCCGCCACTCTTGCGGAAGATCTGGGTTCGGTTCCCAGCACCCACATAGCGACTCACAAGCATCTTACTCCAGTTCCAGGGGATCCAACGCGCTCTTCTGGTCTCTGCGGGCACCAGGCATACGTGTGGTTCACGTACACCTAAACTAATACAAATAAATCTTTTTAAATACATTTATGGTTTGTTGTTCTTTTTGTCTCTCGCACTCTATTTCTCACATTCATTAACTTATGGAAATAACACTTATTGGGGCTATAAAAATGGCTCAGCCATCAAGATCAAACACTGCTCTCTCTTATAGAGGACCCCGAGTTTGCCTCCCAGCATGATGCCAGGCTGCTCACAACTGCCTGTAACGTAGCCCAGCTTGAGGAGCATCCGACCTGTCTGGTCTCCCAGGGCACCTGCACTCACTGCACATACCCACACACGGACTCACATGCATCCACTGAATTAAAAATAAGTTAATTAAATTTAAAGATAGCTTACTGAGTATCAGCAATGGCAGGCACCACGCCCCGAGGGCAGAATGGCTGCCGGGACTGGCATAATCCCGGTTTTTCTGCTGCCTCCCACCCAGCAAAGGTAAGAACCTTGAGTCCTTCTCCTTTCCTGGTGCCTTGTCCACTCAGCCCACCTCGTCATCACAGCGCCTCGCTGCTGACGCCCACACAATGCATTTTCTACTCACAGCCCATGCAGGCCAAAGCCTCTGATATGGCAGTGGTCTTGGGGGACACTGGAGACATTTGAGTCCCCATTTTTATTAACCACTGAGATGGGAAGTAGCGTAGTTGTTGACAGGGTACTGGAGACAGGGGAGGGAGGCTTGAGGAGTGGCAACTAGGGGGTCTGACCTTTCTATGCAGCATGATGAGAATGTTCTAGAATTGACTGTGATGATGCCTACAAAATCCATGGCCATGAGAAATAAACTCTGCTTGTACATATACCTCATTTTATTTATTTATTTATTTATTTATTTATTTATTTATTTATTTATTTATTTAATGTGGGTGGGTGTTTTGCCTGCATGCATGTCTGTGCACCACATACATGCCTGGTTTCTGCAAAGGCCAGAAGAGGCCATCGAATCCTCTGGGACTGGAGTTACAGGTGGTTGTGAGCTGCCATGTGGGCGCTGGGAATTGAACCCAGGTACTCTGGAAGAGCAGCCAGTGTTCTTAACTGCTGAGCCCTGATAATACTCCAGCCCCTGATCATACACTTTAAATAGGTGAATTGTGCGGCGTATGGATTATATCTCAATGAAGGGGTTATGGAAAAGAGGAAGGAGGGGGAGGAGGTGATGTAGGGAAGGAAAGAAGAGAGAGAGGAAAGGGAGGAAAGACCCCACCCAGTATAAACCTCTTAAAGGTAAGGGCAGTGCAATGCATCCCATGTTTGGATTCTTGGTCCCTGGGGTTGCAGGTGCGGTGGTCATTACCCTCCCACCAGGACCCCGTGGCTCCTGCCACGACTTCCGAGCAGGAGTCTCCGAGTGGCAAAGGGAGCAGGAACCGTGTGTGCCTTGGACTCCGACTCGAGGGGAGGGCATGGTCCGACTGTGGCCTGACAGTCCGCCCGCCCTTGCAGGAAGGAATGCGGAATCAGCTAAGCGGCAGTGCTCCAGCCTGCCACACGAGGGCAGTATTGTCTCAGGAAACAGCTTCTGCAGTCCTGCACCTCAGAAAACACCCAGGCAGGAATCATAGTTCAATAAAGTATGATAAAGTAACCATGAAGCTGCTCGTTAAAAGCAAAAGAGCTATGATTACATAAACAACCCTCGTTAGTAAATATTTGATGTGGAAAAAAAATCCTTTCCAGGGTGGAACTGAAGACCGCCTACTGAACCTGCTTCTAAGCCCCCGGCCCCCAGAACTGTTACCCCAGGATCCCCTAACACTTTCTCTGGAAGCGGAAGCGCCCACCAGGCCGTCAGGGGCTGAACAGCGTAGCACGTGGGGACCAGAGGCCTGAGCTCCAGCTGCAGTCGGACCTTGGCCCCCACCACATACAGGCCGAGTGTGTGTGTGTGTGTGTGTGTGTGTGTGTGTGTGTGTGTGTGTGT